ATAAGATATTTAAGGAAGATTTTGTTTTAAAATATTATGGATAATTTGATAATTATTTTATATTTAATTTATATTTCTGATTTTTAGGTTAATTTGTTAAACCAATATACAAAATCATACATTAATGTATTTTTCCTTAAACAAATTAAGATTAATGTACTTTCCAAAACCAATATTGATGGATTAATTTGGTAGATTTCGAAATAATATATATGGAAACTGGTATTTAATATCTTTAAATTTTTAGTAAAATCCAATTGAAAAATTTCGGGTTAATTTTTTTAAAAAACCCGACCCAAGAAGCTTTTGTACTTCTCTTTTACTATAGTAGGGATCATCATCATATTGGTGTAACCGTGTAAGTAATGAAACTTGATAAGAAATTAAAATTAAAGAGTTAAGACGATCAATTAATTAGAGATTACGTAACAAAGTTCGATTTTCATACCCATTGTTGCCTTTATTCAATCAATACCCAAAGTTATCGTTTTAATTATATATTGCTTTCAATCTATAAATGAATTAGAAGAAATAATGTAATTATCTGAAGGATGGATACAGTTTGCAAATGTTTTTGTAATCGAAGATTGCATTTTTAATTTCGTATTTTTTCTAGCTCGATGATATCATCATAAGCAATACGAACGAACAGGAGAAAAGCTATTGTGGGCACATAAAATGGATGAATGCGTCACCAAAATGTCCAAAAACGTTTCGACACATAAGCCTCCCTTCATATATTATATAGCTGCACTGTCTTGTCTCTCACTATATATTTCTCTAAATACCATTATTTTCCTCGTTGCTTCTCACCTTTTTATTTTTGTTTTTAGTGAAAGCAGCAGCAACTTCGTTGTTCCAAAGTAAGTAAAGGTTTCTCTCGACTTCGAGAACACTATTAGTAAAGAAAGTTAAAAACTCCATAGATACTAAAATGTTATTAAACTGATCCTGATGTACATAATTGAGTACAATTATAAAAGTTATAATCATTGTTTTTCACACAGCCCCACAAATGTAAGAACTTTTTGTTACATTCAACGTTGTAATTGCTATATTTCTAATATGGGTGAAGAATCAGTGAATGGTACATGAGGTAAGAAATAAAGGAAAAAAAAAAAACCAATATTGTGAGAGCACAAAAGGACAAAGGTATCAACAATGGAACCCATCAAAGGACCTAACCAATTATTTCCATAAATCTCTGGTCCATTAAACCAAAAAGCAAAACAAGTGTATGGTTCTGTACCAATAGATTCCCTTTTTATTCATATTTTTAGTTGTTTTATTTATTTATATTTTTTTAATAAGTAATTGATGTTTCCTACCAACTTGAAAGAAAAAGCCTAGACAAGTGTATGGTTTATTAAAACCAAAAAAAAAAAAAAAAAGTGTCTGGTTTATGTAGTACTTTAGTTTTCACTTTCTATCATTTTAAGAGAATTCCACTTAACGTATACAGTTCCCTGACATAATGTAAGGTATTAACATTTTAGTACTCTGAAACGTAGTCATGAAAAATCATACCAATTAGACACTTAACTTACGCAAGTGATCAAATTCACTTCACTAAGACAAGAGCCTGAAACCAACTTGCTTCTTTTACACAAAAAATCAAAGCTTTCAAAATAGTAATAATCATCAAAAACCTAGTTGTAGATAAAGCTAACACAAGAGTTTCTCTTTTTAACTGTACCTCGAAACATGAGCTAGCTAGAGGGACTGGAGACTTCTTAAATCATACTATGTTTAGTTTCAGTAATGAAAACATTTATGTAAACAGCATATGATTGATTAACTCGATATCAAAACATGACTCATTTGGTATCTTGTAATTTGACTCACCGGATCAGAGACGAAGCTTCGTCTGTACTCTGAACTCAGGAAGTAAAGCGGAGTGGTCAAAGCGTTTTGGTCAAGTAAAGCGGGATTACTTATTTGGGCCTTTGTTTACAATGTAAATTTTGACCCATTTAAGTAAGACTACACTTAAACTTTTCGGGTCCAAAATCAGCGGAGTTTTGGAAAAGCCTAACATGGACGCCGTCAACCCAACGAAAAGTGCCGATTTAGTTTAGTTACCAACCATTCCTCCTAACTGACTTTTGAAGACTGAACCTAAACCGTTACGTTTTGTTGAAGTATGTGTCTAAATCGATGAAAAGATGGTATATGCAGCAGCAGTACTGACTACTGAGTAAATGTAGTATTATTATTTTAACAACAACAAAAAAAAACACTTAATGCCTAATTGCCTACTAAGCTTGGAGAGGAGACTAGTTGATGATACCAAACAGTTTTTGATCAAAACCATTATGGGGCGAAATCGTTGGTATTGTTATAGATCGACCGTTGACAAGTTAAATAACAATATAACATGCACACCTATAAAAATGGTCAATGACTTAAGGTCGCTCGAAGTTCCAATAAAAGTTTTTTTTTTCTTTTAATCTCTCTGCTCTTTTAGAAAAAAAAGAGCAAATACTTCAAGAATATACGCAAAAAAGAGCAAATACTTCAAGAATACTTCAAAATCTTAATGATGTTTACTTCTTTCCATACTCGGTATATTTGTAGAACTTGTATGTTGATGTTTAAGATGACCTTTTTTTACGACTCATTTTTGTTCTTATTATAGTTCGATGATATTCATACTATATGTTATTGAAATTTATCCCAACATTATGCATAATCAGTATGAGCGGACCGGACGACATGTTTTTTTGAAATATTTGAACTCAAATCTAGTCTTCATCCATTGTAGAGAAAGTTTGAACCCGACCCTCTTAATAAATATAATTGATATCCTTAAAATAAACCGTACCCGGTTCCATATGATCAGTGTATCCGAATTAATTTCATAAAATCAAAACCGACGAGATCGATCACTTTAAAAAACCACAGAAGAAACAACAATAGAGAGAGAGAGAAAAAATAGCTTAAAACCAAATTTCGTTAGGTGGGGATGATGATCGGTCTCAAACCGGTCTAACCGACCGGGTTAAGGTTAATAATCCCCTCTTTATTTTAACAACGCGACCACAAAAACAAAAGAGATTACTAGGCTACACGACTCTTCGCCGCTTTCAAAACACAAACCGTTTCCACTTATTATTTTTTGCTCTCTCGTTTAAACAAACAAAAACAAACAAAAACAAAAAAAAGGGGGAAGAAAAAAAAGTAGGTGCAATTACTGATCTTGAATGTATTGTGTACTGTTTGTTTTGTAAATTCTCTTCAATTTTTTTTGTTGATTAAGTACCTTCCAAAGGTTTATAGTTTTTTTTGAAGGTTGATTCCAGTGGTTGATAATTTATCTCATTGATACTTGCCACACATGCCACCTTACTTATCCAACCGGATATCGATTTCCAGCCTTTCAACCCTTTAAATCGTAATTGGTGTGTGCATATGACACCATATGAGATAAATATGTCTAGATTAGTGAGTTGACTTTTTGTTGCTCCTCAAGATGTTGTGCCTCAGTCTACGGTGACCTTCTGTTTGTCGCAGTGGCCTAGAGGGTTAATTTAGTAGAAATTGATCGATTGCCGGTTTATACCGATAGGTTGAAACAAGTAGTCTACAACCATTTGATTTGTTGATTGAATTTGATAAGTCTTCTATTTTTGGTTGTGGATATTCCTAACCATATGATCTTTTGACGTTCTTCCATTTAGGATAAACCTCAACTACATCTTTATTAAAACATTTCGAATGTGATTACAATTAATGAATTAGTGAGAGTGTGTTTCTTATATAAAACTTACAGAAATGAACAACGGGATAAGCAAAATATGTCTTCTATATATAGAATAGGAATGAAACCCTTGTTAAATATATATTTCCCGTCTCATTGCCTATATTTTAACACCAAATATGCTTGATCATGATAGTATGTACATATATGCTAAATTTGTAACAGTTCTCAGACTGTATATATAGTTATTAAAATCTTTCTCTATTTGCCTCCATTTTACAATACTCAAACTCTTGTTGTAGCTAGTTTCTTTGGTGGTTGTTTTTGTACCTCAACTTAGTGGCACTATACAAAGTGTTTTCACTTGAGATTAAGATTTTGATGCGTAACTTTTTAGTTATTCTTCTTTTTGTGATTAATGTTAGATTACAGCTTAAGACGTTTCTAAACTCGTAACAAAGGTATATTCATGTAATCATGGACAACACCAATTAGGATTAGAGCACCTTCATCCTGAAATGACAAACCCACTTTAGCTTGGCTTGTCCTCGCTGGAGAATGCTGACAACATTTAGCCTTGTGATGTTGAAGTATGAACCTAAGATTTTGGCTTATATTCTGTGTAACACTGATTTAGCTTAGTGAAAAGGAGGTAGTCAATTGTCATAGGGAGCAGTTTGAAATTGACTTTCATTGGCTGGCAAGGTAAATTGTATATAGATAACTCTATGAGAATGATATTGTGAATTCAGAGATTAGAGCACTACAGTTTTAGTTTTACATTTTAAGTAAAAAAAAAAAATTACACACATGTATATGCATGGATAGGATAATGAAATATGATGGAATGAGAATTAAAAGCTAAAACAGACCAAAAAGTAAACAAAACCAGAAGTGGGATTTTAGCTATATATGTACACTTAACTGTTTCATACATAGACGCCTACTGAAGTAAAGTTGATTATAAAAATATATTGGGGAGTAACAATAAGCATTATTCCACTCGGGTTCAGTCTCTCTTTAAAGTCATCTATTGATGCTATTTATAGTCTGTAGTTTTGAACTGGTTTTGCGTAAATTATTGTTCTAATGTATTTTTGTTTTGCTCATGATATCTCCAGCATGGCCAAGATCATCGATCGTTACGAGATACAACATGCTGATGAACTTAAAGTCTTAGTAAGTTAGCTAAGAACATCATTTAAATATTATTCTGGAAGCGATTTTTGATGTTGTGATGCGACAAAGGTACTGGCCGAGCCTAAGATAACTCAATGTTTTGGATTTCTCATGCTGGACTTAGTTCCCTAAAGTTGCATTTTTTTCAGAAAACTCAAGAACTTCGCTATCTTTCTGACCATTCCCTTCGTTTTCTCCATGTGCAGGATCTTGCGGAAAAAACTCGGAATTATCTTCCACACAAGGAGTTACTAGAAATGGTCCAAAGGTTAGCACTAATTCACCTTTATCCCCCTCTTCTTCTGATAAAAAATATTTTTTTCTCCTTTGGCAACTTATGAATACAGCAAGCTTGAAGAACCAGTCGATAATGTAAGTGTAGATTCCTTAATTTCTCTGGAGGAACAGCTCGAGACTGCTCTATCCGTAACTAGAGCTAAGAAGGTATCTATACTGCTGCTAGTGATTGAACCAATTATCCCAAAAATATCTTGATTAGTTAGATTTACAAGAATTTTTTTTTTTGACATAAATCCTTAATTAATGTCTTGTTGTAGACAGAACTGATGATGGAGGATGTGAAGTCCCTTCAAGAAACGGTTAGAGCTTTGGTTATTATTTGCTTTGTAGGGTATGCTGATTCTTGAATACTATACTATATACGAACCGTCTGCAGATCACTAAACCAAGTTTAACTCTAGATATATCTTTAGGTCTAGTCTTAGTTCCTGATTCATTCTTTGCTTTATTAGATGGAACCCTAATTATAACAAATGAAAAAAAAAAAAAAAAATCTGAAACTTGATGAAATTCGGTGATTCTCATCCAATTTGAATGAGGATGCTCAGATAGCTTTGAAAAGTTTGTTAGACACTGATGACCTTTATGATCTTGTCTAAACAGGAGAGGCTGCTGAGAGAAGAGAACCAGTATCTGGCTAGCCAGGTGACAAAGACACAAACCCTTGTGCTTCATGAAACTAATTAATCATTTGATACACTATCTAGATATAAAACATCTATAATACACTTGCATAAACATAAACATATACATATATATATATATATAGATTAATTTCTTGTTAATGTTTAGTAGCTGTAGAAAAAGAAATGTAAGAAAGTTTCTTACAGATGTGGAAGAAGACGTTTCTGGTAACCCAAGGTGGGAGAGGAATATCACCCGAAAATAGCTCCGGCAACAAAGTACCGGAGACTCTCCCGCTACTCAAGTAATCACCATCACAACCGGCTGAGTTTTCACCTTAAACTCATACAAGGCTGATTCAGAAGTTGAAAAAAGCAAAACAGTTTGTAAATTAGACAAAGCTGCATAATCTCAAACCTTTTCTTTATCTTCCTCTCTATTGTGGAAATTAAGGTAATTAAGAAAAAACGAAGCTTGTAAAAGTAACATAAAAGTCGTCGATCTTTGTTGTACCTTCGTAGACAAGATCAGTAAATCGTGTGTTTGTCTTCTTGTACGGATTTGGATTTTAAATGTTTTTGTTTCTTCAGCGTGAAGAACCCTAGAGAGAGTTTCTTGATTCCTTTTGTTTCCCTTTGTTTAGTTGTCATCACTTTGTCTTCCGTACGTTACGTGGCATAAAGTTATTAGCAGCTATGGCTGAACCATATCAGATATTTTGTCCTTTTTCCAAGTTTATCAATTCTGCTTTGATGTACTCCAAAAATAGCACTTTCAGAAAAGAAGAAGATAAAAGATGGCAGAAAGACTTCGTCTCACTCGCTCATCATAACTAGTTTATTGATTGGCCCAATAAAAATCATCAAATCATTTCTACCAAATTTTAAATGGGCCTATATTTGGATATTAAAGATACTATTTGGGCCTAACAGAAATGGGGTTCAGGTTTACAACCCGAAGCAATAAGAGGAATCGAACAAACTGATAAGTCATGAGCTGATTGTTATGGCCTCATGGGGTTGGTTTGGTTTGAGTCTCAACGAGTAAACTCGAAACTAGAAACTCGAAAGTAGAGTAAATGACTAAATGTCGCATCCATTGTTTGGATACATACACCCAATCCCATCGACGTATGCATAGACGGACGGGTATACCATTACAAAAACTTAAGAAAAGTGATACGAATCAAATAAGACGAACGATAAAGTTTCGACTTATTGCATTTTGTTACGCTTTCGACGAAGAGAAATAACAAAAGACTCCAAATTGATATGGAAGAGATAATGATAATATAAAGATTTTAGTTGAAATATCTGCAAGTAGGAAAAACGCGCCATCAGGTAATTCGACATGCGTTAACACGTGTCCTAACTCTACTAATACGAACCGTTTAACACTTCTTTCTTACTGTGTCTAATTTTTTTTTTTTGGTCCTCTCTCTCTCTTTCGTTTAACAAAAAAAAAAAAAGCATACCTTCATAGATTTTTTTGCTGAGAACCAATTAAAAGAAAAGAAGAAAAAAAAAGGAATAATAATAAAAAGGAAAAACGTTCAGAGCCTCCGGTCAGTTAAGACGGACATCAGAATCAAATTAGGAGATAAGACTTTGCCGGAGAAAGAAGGAAGCCATGGGAAGAAGAAAAGTTGAGATCAAACGAATTGAAGACAAAAGCAGTAGACAAGTCACTTTCTGTAAACGACGCAATGGTCTTATGGAGAAAGCTCGTCAGCTCTCAATTCTATGTGAATCTTCAGTTGCTCTTGTCATCGTCTCTTCCACCCGAAAACTCTACAGCTTCTCCTCCGGCGATAGGTAACACTAATTATCTTTTCCTAGCCTCTTTTTTTTTTGTTGTATATATAGTCAGTCTTTCGCGAGAAAGAAATAGAAACTAAAGAACTAGGGTTTTGTTTTCCCCCTTTTCGAGTCTTTTAGCTGAGTTACCTGTTTTGTTTCTTGCCACGAGCGATGTGTAGCTTTGAAATCAAACAATGTGGTGCCCAAATATGTTCTTGGTGTTTGTTTTGTGTCTCTTTTTCATTTTCTATTGTTTCTCATATGTTGCCGGAATTTGTATTTCTTTTTTCTTTTATCTTTTTCTTTTTGGGAATATTATTGCATGCACTTGGAGAGATTGGTTTTTCTACACGTGGTAATCGTATTGTATGTTTGTCTATTGGGATTTCAAGGCATCTTAAGGTTTGTGTCCTTCCATGGTCTGTTGTAGAGTTGTAGAAGAACAATGTACATTGTTTTATTTTTTGAGATTAGTCTTGGCTCATTATCCTCTTTTTACTCAATTCAATGAACCTCCGGTAGATTTGAAATGAAGTAATGCAGCAGATTATAAGGGTCTTTAGATTTGAATACATGCCGCATTTAAAATCTGGTTAACTACAAGTGTATTGTAGATCAGAAGATGATTGTTACTTTAAGTTGATTAAAATGGTCTAACTATTTGTTTAAACCATTGGACTCCAATCCCCAATCATGTGTACATACATACATATATACTGAGTAGCTCTTTCCGTGCTCTCCTTGAATTGTTAACTCCCTTCTTTTTTGCAATTCTTCAACGAGCTAGTGGGTCTCATGGGCCAACTAAACTAAGTCTCCACTCCACCATCATTGTATATTTTGTTATTCCTTTATAAATTCTATGTGTTACAATGACCTGAGTGATATTGTAGAAATGGGAATATAAACATTCGTCGTTAAATATAAAGCTTCTTAGCATTGCCTGGATTTTAACAGCACAAATGCTTAGATCATGAAAGTAATTACATGTTAAAATGGTAAGTCACATGCACGAATTGTAGATAAGACTGGTGGAACTTTTTTTTTCGCTTGTCTTCAATAATAGCTAAATTCTTTGTAGCTCCTTTGATAACTTAATTTAGTGGCAATATACATAGAGGTGTTTCACTAGTTGCCTCACTAGATGCATAGTGATTCTTACGTGTCTCACTAGTTGCATAGATTCAACTCACAGCTTATGATGCTATTAGCAACGTGAAGATGAAGTTAATCAAATTTCACTTAGATTCATTGAAATAGATCAGAAAGTAGGAATGAATTTGTGAAAATAGTGTACTTATCCTATATTAGAGGCACTTTCATACTTAAGCTTGCTTTTATGATGTGTTTTGTGGGCTTGATTTGGGGTCAATCCTATGAATTTTTAATCTTCCCTAAAGTAGTGGTAAACCCCACTTTCTTGGCTTGTTGTTTAAGAAGTATTTTAAAATCTTATGTTGATTATTGTTTAAGTGGTAAATCCCACTTTTAATTTTTAATCTTCCCTAAAGGTTTTTTTTTGTTCAATCGTCTAGTTCGGTTGATTATTGTGTAAGAGCTTTAAGCGTTCAATACTATGTGGAGTTTGAAGGGTAGTTATAGCTTTTCTAATATGATTTTTGAATGTTGTTTTCATCAACTTTTAAAGATTTTCACTTGCGAATATAAATTTCATCGTAAGGGGAAATATTGTATTTCTTTCTATCTATCCAGTTAATCTTTTTGGACTGCAGTTAGTTCCTTAAAATAACACTAATTAGTCATTCCTGTCGTTTTGATAAGAAAATAGTGAGTAGTTAACTAAACTCATGTGAAGAAAATGTTCATCTTCTGTATGTACGACATCCAAAACCTTTCTAAGTTGAAAAGAATTTAGGGGCTGCAGAGTTGGTTACATATAACAATGCACTTGAGAGTTATTGCAAACTTTATACAGTATTAGTAGTAGATTTATTCCTATGTATATGCATCACATAAAAAAGTAAAGATTGTGGACTAAAAAATGAAAACTAAACTTAAAGCAATATATGGAGTAATAGAGATACCGTTATAAAAAAATACAAAAAAAAAAAATGGATAACGACCCTTAGTGTTATTTTAGCTATATACACTAACGATTTAATATACAATCCTTGTGTTTAATTAACAGTCTAACATTAATCGATTATATGCTACGAATCAATTAAATGATAGAACATTTCTATACATAGAAACTTTTTTCTCTCTAACAATAATATTATGTGTTTTGGAGTAGATCATCTCTGATGCCTCTTTTTGTTTATCTCTTGATTTCTTTCCAGCATGGCCAAGATTCTTAGTCGTTTCGAAGTACAGCAGGCAGATGATACTAAAACCTCGGTAAGTTTTTCTTAGAACCTCTCAGGGGCATGGGTATACATGCATAGGTGACTGAGATGAGCATTTAGAATCTAGTTTACAGTCAATGGAGCTGGTTGCTATGTTAAGACTTTATTGCCTTAACATTGTGGATAAAGAACAGAATAGAGATACTCTGTTATTCACAGCCGGGTATTGCACTAGAAAGTCTACTACATGGTTTCAAACTTGACGGTTAGAATCATATGTATACTAAATGCTCTAAAGTCTAATGATGCATATGTTGAGATGAGCTTAGTTAGAATAGTCCATTGAGATGGTTGTCACGTTGATGATTTGTGTAGTGCCTTAACATTGTGGAGAGAGATTGACATAGGGGAAGTTCATTCTTCTCTGCCAGTGTAGGGAAAAAGTTTTTAAACTTGTCGTATTCCGAACTTGACATTCGAGGTCTGGATTCATTTGTGTCTCTTGGAAACACAAGAAATTCACAGTATTTCTTTCATGGCAGGATCTTGCGGAAACAAGTAGGAATTATCTTTCACACAAGGAGTTACTAGAAATAGTCCAATGGTTAGCACTAAGAGTCTAAGACTCCTCGCTCCCCCCCTCCTCTTCTCTCTGATCAAATTTGTTTTTTGGTAAATCTATTATATGCAGCAAGCTTGAAGAAGCTAAAAGCGATAATGTAAGTATAGATTTTCTAAAGTCCCTGGAAGAGCAGCTCAAGACTGCTCTGTCTGTAACTAGAGATAGGAAGGTATAAATGCAGTTACTAAGTAATTCTCAGCCGTGTTTGGATGTAGCACCTCACAGATGATTTCCCCAGTTTGACATAACTCTTAATGTTCTTTCGGCAGACAGAACTAATGATGGAGTTTGTGAAGACCCATCAAGAGAAGGTTAGTATTTTTTGGTATTTAATGGCCATCCCAAGCTATGCTGACTCTAGATATGTCTTCTGATTTCTAAATTCTTGGTTGTGAATTAATTTTTAATCAAATTCCATTTTCCCCTTGGATGGACCACCAAAATGCTAGGAAGATGATTTAGAGAAGAAAAAAACTGATAAAGTTGTGATGTTGTCCAAACAGGAGAAGCTGCTAAGAGAAGAGAACCAAATTTTGACTAGCCAGCTTTCAAAGGTAACCATCTCACAAAGACACTTGCATATACTGCTTACGTATGACAGTTGAAGACTCTCATCTTTCTTAAGAAACATGCTTTTAAACTGTAAGAAAGTTTCTTACAGATGAAAGTTGAAGGACTCTGATGGATGCTACAAAATTTTGAGTGAGATTTAATTTATGTAAAGAAACAAAACCATTACCTAGAAATGTAGATCCTTAAGTAATATTATTTACTAGCTATAGATTTATAAAAACAAATATTCTTACAGATGAAGAAGTCTCTGGAAACAGAGGATGTAAGAGGAGTGTCACCGGAAAGTAGCTGCGGCAAGAACACACCGGAGACCCTCCTGCTTCTCAAGTAACCACACCATCACCAAACTGCTGATTCGAAAATTCGAAATGTAAAAAAAAAAAAAAAAGGAGAGGATCACATTTATAATTCATAAGGAAAGCTACAAATATATGTGAAATAACCTCTTCTTCGGAGTATGAAATAATGTATTGATTTTTATTGTTACCTTCGGAGTCAAGATAATAAAAATATATTGTTTGGATTTGTTTTGTTAAAAAAAAAAAAGGAATTAGGTTAGTTTATCAAAAGTTTTGCTTCCTTCAGCGTGAAGAACCCTTAGGCCAAAAAAATATATTTACTTTTCCCTTCGTCGCAAAGTTTCAGGTAGTTTTTTTCATCTTTTTTTAATGGGAAATTTTAAATCAGAGTGATGTCATTTAGATAACTCTGTTTTTTTTTTTTTTTTCTCTCTTAAGTGATTTTAGGCGGAAAGTCAGTCGGTAAAAGGCTTTCGTAGCCGTGAATATTGAGCCCAGATTCGGCCCTATTTGAAATTGATAATCATCCTAGAAAGTGGTTAGAGACCACGAAATAGTCTTGAGTGTAGCTTGAACAGTATCCAGCCCAATATTTTTGTTGTCGGCCCAATAATGTTGGGTAGTTTAGTTTAAGTAGCTTCTTCACTCGACGAGCAATTATTGAATAACTTGGCAAAGTCGAAACCGGAAAAATTGGGGGGATCGGAAATTGGAAGAGGGTTATGATGTTCTAATAGAGTTTAGACACACTTGTCGCATTAGTGGTTGGATATACAAATAATTAGTTTCTCATATTCTCTTCTTTCCATTTAAATTCGAATTTACTTTATATATATATGTAATAAAATTGTTGAGCTACGTCGAACGATTGAGTTTCAACAAACATATGATTATTAAAGAAGAGAAGAGAATGTACATCTTTGAACAAGGACACACACACTCACACATAGTATTCGTAAAATACTTAAGACAATCAGACAAAACCCGAAATAATTAGGAAATAACTTGAGCCAAAAAAATGGACAATTACACCAAAACATGTTTGAAGCTACGGGCTCCCTCTTTTAAGATATCATAATTTTTATAGTAAGAACTCATGCAAGTTTGAAAGCCCTATACGTTTCGAAAGATGTGAGATCTCATGTTTAAGAA